ACTTCTAAGTATGATCCAGCAATTGTTTGCAGAACATCACATAATATACAACATGCTTTTACAGAGATTCTGAGAATTACAGTTGTTGACTCCAATCCTTATACATAGTGGTACTCCTATATAGTATTACCAATAATACATAAATCTGTCCAGCCTGTCCTCCACAATTTACAATAGTGATGTGATATCTTATTTAGCTGTGGTATCTCTAGTTGGAGGCTTATACTTAGCTATAGACTTATGGCATGATATTCCAGTCTAATGGATCTTGTCTGTCATATCCTTGGAGTGCATGTGCGTATCCAGTGTGTGAAGTTACCACTTGTGGGGGTATGTTGGGGTAAACTCGGAGTAGGTTGGGGATATAGCCTCATTTGAACTTGAGTCTAAACCAAATTTATAAACAAATTCAGCAGGCGAGTCCTTTCCCTCACATGCGTTGAGCATCACAGGGCAGCGTTGACAGCAATGTTTCTTTCGTACATTCATCAAAAACGAACACTTATGTCATCAGGAATGCCAATGAGAGCACCACCTCAGAAGAGGGCCCACCCTAGATATTTATAAATTTTTTGTAATTTTGATGTGTTTTTTTACTGCAATTTTTTTATGTTTTCCACTTTCTTTTTTCCAGGTGCATATGACAGGATATTGCCTTACATCCTCATGGGGAGTCTGACTGTAGTCATGGGAATTCTAGTTTTGTTGTTCCCAGAAACTTTAGGCAGACCTCTGCCAGAGACTATTGACCAAACACAAAACATTAAGGGGTAATGTATTAAACTTTTCACAATCCATCCATGCCCCTTTATTTTTTTGATTTGTTTTGTACTAGCACATATATGAAGATACCCCATTATATACACAGAGAATAATATACACACTTTGTTTCAAGATTAGCTGCCTGTAGTCACCTCTTTCACCCTAATCATCAGAGGCTTTAGGAGCCTATTATATGTGTCTTATCCAAAACTCTTGAGACTAAGGGTGCCTTGTGGTCCCTCTCGACCCCCACCATTTCTCTAGCGCATTGCAGGTTCTGCTTTTTGTTGTTTTTTGTAATATGGAAAGTTCAGTGTACATGGTATATCTACCTTGGCCATTATCTGTGAATTATAATAACTGCCGTGATCTCCCAAATTTCACAGTTTTGTTATGAGTCCACCTCAGGACGGTGAAAAATATTCATGGAGTAGGAGAGATTCAATGAATTAACATTGATGTACTGGTGTAGTTCACTGGGGCTCATCTAAAGTGAAAAACCTGTGGACCATAGACATATATACATTAAAGGACCACTATAGTGCCAGGAAAACATACTCGTTTTCCTGGCACTATAGTGCCCTAAGGGTGCCCCCACCCTCAGGGACCCCCTCCCGCCCGGCTCTGGAAAGGGGAAAGGGGTTAAAACTTACCTTTTTCCAGCGCTGGGCGGGGAGCTCTCTGCCTCCTCTCCTCCTCTGTTACGCCCCGCCGGCTGAATGCGCACGCGCGGCAAGAGCTGCGCGCGCATTCAGCCGGTCTCATAGGAAAGCATTTACAATGCTTTCCTATGGACGCTGGTGTGCTCTCACTGTGAAAATCACAGTGAGAAGCACGCAAGCGCCTCTAGTGGCTGTCAATGAGACAGCCAATAGAGGGAATAGGGGGAAGGCTTAACCCATTGATAAACATAGCAGTTTCTCTGAAACTGCTATGTTTATTAAAAAATGGGTTAACCCTAGCTGGACCTGGCGCCCAGACCACTTCATTAAGCTGAAGTGGTCTGGGTGCCTAGAGTGGTCCTTTAAGGTGGGGATATTGTGTTAGATTCTATTTTTAATTATAAATGATAGTAATTAAATAACAATTTTAGCATGGATGCCAATGGGAGAACTGCTCTTCAGCCAGCATTAAAGGAACACTACACAACCCATATTAGAAAAGAAAATTAAATCACTGTTTAGTAGATACACCCCAATGAATACATACATGCTTTTCTACATGTATGTATTCATAGGGAGTATATCTTAAAACAGTTTGCAAAAGATGCAGTTCTTATGAACTGCAGACTTTGAAAGCCACCCCCTTCATATGGAAATAGCTAATCTGAGACTTATCTGAAGGGCACTGGTGCTACTCTGAGGTCGGAACCCCCTCCCCCTCTCTGGCTGTTTGATTAATTATTTATGAAAGTTATGATTTCTAATAGAAATCAGCATTTTTATTAACGGCCATTATTATGGGATACTTCTCACCCATAAAGCCGAAGGGCATAAGTACATTTTTTGCAATTTAATGCAGTCCATAGTCCCTTCATAATCTTCTTGCCTTTACTTTAAAGCAAGGATCCAGGAATATGTGCATTCTCAAGTACAAATCTCACTTGCTCTGTTCCTGTCAAGGTGGTAGAGACACCTAAACTCAAAGTATAGGTTAGTTCCCTGAACTAGAAAATAGCTATGTAATAGCAAAGTGTATTACCCATTCTTAGAATGTCTCGGCTTAATGCAAAAATGTCCAGAAGGCAATCAATTGTATTCAAAGACAAGCCAAAGTCATTAATACCAGAAAAGCAACATAGTGATGTAACTAGATCATTTTGGCATACCATAAAAAAGTTGATTATAAGCCTGTGGAGTCTGAACCAGAAAATGACCACAAGCATAAGGATATGGTTATCGGCAATTATGTTCATATTTCTCTGCACAGAGTTGCATACGTTGTCCGAGAGCAATCAGCAGATGTCCTCAGCCAATAAGTGGCCAGCAAGATGGCCATACTGACCATCACATCCCAGCAGGGACACAGCTAAGAGGGCAACCCATTGCAAAACACTCTGCCTCATTACCGGAAAGTTGGGCCAGGGCACTCATGGAATTATGTTGTTAAACTACCCACTTGTCAAACAGCTTAATATCAAAGTTTGGTCCCTGTGCACCTGTTCGATCCACTTATAGGAAATTGTTCATAAAGTGAAATAGGACAGATTTCCCCTGGAAGATGTATCACAGTTAAAATTCTGCATTTATTACATGTATGCAAACAAAAGCCTTTGCTTAGGCAATCAATTTTTAAAGGTGAATATGATGGCTTTACTAATATTATAATGATACATTTTACATTTTTGTCTTCAAATAAAAAAAAATTATTTTATTTTTTATTTTAGGATTTGCTGTAAAAGAAATGTCCCTCTAGAAAATCATGTACATAAAGAAGAATTCAAGAATGGTTCTGTTTTAATGTCTTCACAATTATGATATAAGTAATTCTGCTATTTAGTTTGTGTTTCCGTGCATCTTTGGTCCTCAAGTTGAGAGATATTCAATAACATGTGAATTGAATTGGACTGGCGTAGCGATGATTGCAAAATAATAGAATGCTATTAAGAAGACTTCAACAAGTCTAACAATGCCATAACAAAGTAAAAAAGAAAAACTACATCTGTACTAACTTTTTTTATGTGGCTTTATTGTGACACTTGCACAATACAGTCATGATACAGTAACTTAATTATATAAGGTTGTGTGAATGGTTTTCTATTGTTGTTTATGAAACTTTGTTATTATCTGTAGGTTTTCTTTTTATTCACAAGCAGTTTTAAGACACCATCTTACAAAATTCTATTAAAATCCTTTTGACCAAATATGTCAATTTTTTTTATAGATAATTGCTGCTCTATTTTTATACAGCAGTTGTCATTAACTGCAATGTAAATATTAAATATTTTATGGAAATTTATCCTGTGTATGGTATTTAATCACAATCTCATGTGGAATGGCACTTGAAAAACCCAGTTATTTTGACAAGTACACATTTGGGGCTTTGGGACAACCCATGCCACAAAATGAATTTCTTATATAAGCACATAAACAGCCATTCTCTGTTCATCTTCCAATCCCCTCATAACAGAGAATCCATACTAAGAAGACCGTGCCCACCATTGAGGTGCATAACTAATTCATGTTAGCACATTTAATGTCATTTAACTTCCTGTTTTCTACTTCATTTAATGTCATTTAACTTCCTGCTTTAGTGTAGCCACCGTAACCATTTTATCTCGATAAATTGGCTAAAGTGCCAGGAGTCTCCTGGCATGGCTATTTATTGTTAAACTATTTTCATCAGTTTAAGACTAAATAAGGGTCCGTAGCCACGCACAGCCTAGTCACTAATGGAGGTGTGTCTAAGGCAGAGATTACTCGGTTTCTTCTAACATGCCTCCCACCAAGTCCCACTTTTGGTGGGACAGTATTGATTTTGGGGTCCTGTCCTGGATCTGGGCACACCAGGGACGTGTCCTCGGGCAGCACAGCGTGAGCACATCATTAGACACGTTTGCATTGTGCTGTGGGCACTGTGAACATGAAGTGAGTGCTTCAGTAGAGCTGACTGAGAGGCTGTCAGTGATGCGGGTTGTATCATTGGTGATGTCCCATAATGGCTCCACCCACCCTGTCTTGATTCCATACCTCCTGTTGTTGGGAGGTATATTGTAGTGATATCCATTTTACCTCACAACAGTAAAACAAATGAGAATAAGAAGGATTAGGAGAGGGGTAACACTCATGGGTGTCCGCAGGGGTGGGGCAACCCACTTACCCCCCCTGGATTTTTCAGCTTGTTCTGCTATTTTTCGTGTGATTGAAAATGAACTGCAATACCAGCGCCGGCCAGTAGGTATGGAGAGAGACAGGGATAGGAAGCTGCATCTATCCCTGCTTCTCTCTGCTGATTGAAACCGCAGGGGAGCAGCACATGCAGCCAGAGACAGCCTACAGATCAGGTAAGTGAGGGATGGGGTGGGGGGGTTTAAAATAGCCTATAGATTAGGGGAGTGAGGCATGGGGGGCAGCCTATAGATTAGGCAAGTGAGGCATCGGGGGCAGCCTATAGATTAGGGGAGTTAGGCATGGGGGTGCAGCCTATAGATTAGGGGAGTGAGGCATGTGGGGGGCAGCCTATAGATTAGGAGAGTGAGGCATGTGGGGGGCAGCCTATAGATTAGGGGAGTGAGGCATGTGAGGGGGCCAGCCTACAGATTAGGGAAGTGTGTGCACCCTAAAGCACAAACACACGCCACGTGTATATGTATGTGTGTGTGTGTATATAATATATATATATATATATTGTGATAAAGTGAAGGCAGATAGGCCTTTTAACCCCAGGGGGAGTATGTGTAGGATGTGTTGTAGGCAACACAAAATGCTGTTTAGTTATGGGCCCCTGGGGTGGAGCATTTGGAGAGAAGGGTGGGCAAATGCTCCACTCCACAGTTTGGTGGTTTTCTGGGGAGACATAGATCCAGGCCAGGGTTTTTTGGACCGTCTCCAACCCACTGCTCAGGTGCAGTTAATGAGCTATTGCAGTGGTAATAAGCCCCTCCCTGCTAGGCAGGTAAAAGAGAGGGATTGCTGGCTTCCTCCCAGGAAGCAGGTAGGAGAGAGAGGCTGTTCTCTCCAGATAGAGTCAAGGAGACTAGGCACTTGGAGTGCAGAAAGGAAGCAGTCAGGGCAAGACTGGCTTGGAGCACTGGGAGTGCAGATAGGAAAGCAGTCAGGGCAAGGCTGGCTTGGAGCACTGGGAGTGCAGAAAGCAAAGCAGTCAGGGCAAGGCTGGCTTGGAGCACTGGGAGTGCAGAAAGGAAAGCAACAGGTTAGATAGCAGAGCGTTGCTCTCTAATAAGGTTGGTGCAAGATTGTGTTTGGTTTCTATGAGTGGAAACAGAGAGCTGAAAACCCTGAAGCAGTAAGGCTGTTTATGTTTATGTTTATGTTTATGTTTATGTTTATGTTTATGTTTATGTTTATGTTTATGTTGGGAAATGGACAAGCCATCCAACCCAGTTAGCTGATTATTTTGTTTAGTTAGTGCTCAGAAGAGCAAGGCTTTTGTTTGATATATTTTTGTTACCTTTATACCTTACTGTGCATTTATTTTGGAACCTCAATAAAAGAGCAAGTCAGTTTACCTCATCCAGCGTGTGAAGTGTCTCTAAAGCCTGAAAAGACTGTGTGTAACACCCCAATCCCAGGACAAGGTACCAAGGGAAAGGAGTACTTTTGTCACAATATATACACACATACAGTGCTGTGTGTGTGTGTGTGTAAGGGTGCGGTGTGTGTGTGTGTGTGAGAGGGTGCTGGTAGTGTGCTATGTGGGTGAGGGTGTTTGTGTGTGCTGTGTGTGAGGGAACTGGTTGTGTGCCGTGTGTGTGGGTGAAGGTGTTTGTGTGTGCGTGTTTGTTAGGGTTCTGTTAGTGTGCTGTGTGTGGGTGTTGTGTGTTTGTGAGGGTGCTGTTTGTGTGTGGGTGCTGTGCGAGTGTTGTATGTGGGTTTTGTGTGTTTGTGAGGATGCTGTTAGTGTGCTCTGTGTGTGTGGGTGATGTGTGTGTGTGTGTGTGTGGGTGCTGTTTGTGGGCTGTGTGTGTGTGTGCTGTATGTTTGGGTGGAGGTGGGGGCAGATTAGTTAACATCCCCCCTCCCTTCTTACCTCATGTAGGGAGGGGGGACCGTGCTGCTGCCTTCCCTGGTGGTCCAGTGGAGATTGAACTCTAGCCCGTGTTCTCTGCTGCCTCCCTCTATGCTGCTGTGGACCGGTGAGGTAGAGCTTTGATCTCCCCACCGGCCCACGGAGGCTTAGACCAGAGCTGCCGCTCAGATAGCGCCGGCTCTGCATGAGCCGACCGGGGAGATCCAGAGATATCCCCTGCCAGTCTTAATCCATTGGCATGCCGCGGGGATTAGAATGTGCCCAGGCACACCCGACACACCCCGTGCGCACGCCTATGGAAGTGAGGGATGGGGGAGACAATCTACATGAAGAGTCAGCAAGGAGCAGGAAGGTAAAGTAAGAGAAGGAGCAGAAAGGAGAAGGAAAAGAAATGAGCAGGAAGGGACATCAAGTAGCATAAAGTGGCAGCAAGGAGCACAAAAGGTAAAGTAGGAGAAGGAGCACAAAGGAACAGAAATGAACAGGAAGGGTCAGCAAGGAGCTGGAAGGTAAAGCAGCACAAAGGTAAAGTGGAAGGAGCAGAAAGGGTCAGAAATGAGCTGGAAGGGGCACAAGGAGCACAAACGTAAAGTAGGAGAATGAGCAGGAAGGGCCTGCGAGGAGCAGGAAGGTAAAGGAGCAGAAAGAATCAGAAGGAACACAAAGGTAAAGTAGAAGAAGGAGCAGAAAGGGACATCAAGGAGCACAAAGGTAAAGGAGCACAAAGGGGTCAGAATGAGAAAGGAGCAGAAGGGCGCAAAATGAGCAGAAGGGGCCAAGGATAGAAAACAGTGTCAGAAGAAAAAGAAGACTGTCAAATGAAGGAGCGGAAAAGGGGATTGGAGCAGGAAGGACAAATGAAGTGATACTCTGTTTCAGAAGCCGAATACCACTGAGCGACCTGGAGCTGGAGGAAGCTTTTGGGGTTAAACCATTTGAGAGCGGTTTAACCCCTTAAAGACACATGACATGTGTGACATGTCATGATTCCCTTTTATTGAAGAAGTTTGGTCCTTAAGGGGTTAAAGGAAAGAGAGCACCCAGGGGCTTCCTGGCATCATAGCATTTTCATTTAGGTGAAGTTGTTATGGTGACCAGAATGGTCCTTTAATTTGCTTAACCCCTTAAGGACACATGACATGTCTGACATGTCATGATTCCCTTTTATTCCAGAAGTTTGGTCCTTAAGGGGTTAAAGGAACACTATAGTGTCAGGAATACAAACATATATTCCTGATACCATAGTTGTGAAAACGCTATTCACCCTGGCTTTATGTGATAATGACTATGCCCGTTCCCTTTCATGACACTGTCAAAAAGGTACCAAGCATGGATGTCATTACAATTATGCCCCCCCGGAAAAATTCCTGTGGACGCCCATGGTAACACTATATGACAGATGAGTGCCATATGCTTTTACGTTTCCACTTTATTTACTAGTCGGCAAACAGCTGTTGGATTGTGATGTGAGCTATTGCACCTTGACAGCTTCCATGTCATATTATTGCATAGTACTCCCCACTTCCTGTGTTAAATCTGACTTGGACGTTGTTCAAATCTCGTGTTTTTTTTTCACTGACTTTCTTATTGCTTGTATTGTCTATATTGCTGCATTAGGAGATTGACTGGGGAGGGGGAGAAAATGGAGGAAAGGGAAGGGATCAGAGTGAAGGGAAAAGATGAGATTGATGTAGAAGAGGAAATTAGAATGTTGTGAAAAAGTATAAAATAGATGTAGAACAGGAAATTGGTGGACAAGATGGAGATAGGAGAGGGAATTATTGTGGAGAAGATGGAGGTATGAGAGGGACTCAGAGTGAAGTTGAAACAGGACAGGGAGACTTGAGGATTTTAGTGGGAATGAGCTTTACAACTGGGGAAACACAAGTGGACAGACAACAGGTAGAATGCTGGGCAAAGGAGGAGAATATTATGTAATCGGGGTGAATTATCAGATTCTTATAGTGGGTTGTCAGGTTTGTTCCTCTGAGTGGAAATGCAGATTCAGAGGTTCTAAGTGTGAGATGGAAGATTATCCCCAAGTTCCATCCCCTTCCTACTAGGTTTGTCCTTTAGGCCAGATCAACATGTGTGTATATATATATATATGTGTCTGTATGTATGATTGTTAGTGTCAGAAAGAATCCACACACAAACTTCATAAAACTAATAATAGCTGTATGTCTGTTCAACCATAATTTACCTCTTTCATATTAACTACACCCAATCTTATATTTCATTTTGTTCAGGAGAAACAGGGATTTAATCTCACATCAATTGTTTATATATGAAACATAATTTAATATGAATAAAATAAAAAATATAAAAAAAGAAATGTTACCCCCTAGGTCTGCACAGTGGTGTGTCTAGGATTCATTTTTAGGGGGGGCACATGGTGGGCCAGGAACAAAAGTAGGGGGGCACATTTAACCCCGCCCTCACCGCAGTTTGCCCCTGCTGCATGTTAAGCCCCGCCCACGACACAATGTGTTTTGTTTTGTTTTTTAATAATCCCTGGTGGAGAATTCATTATTTTCCACCAAGGATTATTAAAAAACATACACATTTCCCTTTATACAGTCCATACACACACACACAGACTGCTGAGTCCATAAACACACAGACTCCTGATCATATATACAAACACACAGACACACAGACTGCTGAGTCCATACACCCACACATAGACACACAGACTGCTGAGTCCATACAAACACAGACACATAGACTGCTGAGTGCATACACACACACAGACTGCTGAGTACATGCGCACACACACAGACTGCTGAGTCCATACACACACACCGATTGCTGAGTCTATACACACAGACACAAACACAGACTGCTGAGTCCATACACACACAGACAGACCGCTGAGTCCATACACACACACACACACACACACAGACTGCTGAGTCCATACACACACACACAGACCGCTGAGTCCATACACACACACAGACTGCTGAGTCCATACACACACACAGACTGCTGAGTCCATACACACACACACACACAGACTGCTGAGTCCATACACACACACAGACTGCTGAGTCCATACAAACACAGACACATAGACTGCTGAGTCCATACACATACACACACACACACACACACACAGACTGCTGAGTACATACACATACACACACACACACACAGAGACTGCTGAGTCCAAACACACACACACACACAGACTGCTGAGTCCATACACACACAGACTGCTGAGTCAGTACACACACACAAACACAGACTGCTGAGTCCATACACACATACAGACTGCTGAGTTCATACACACACACACACAAAGACTGCTGAGTCCATACACACACACAGACTGCTGAGTCCATACACACACACACTAACGGTCTGAAGGATCATTGTAGGGCGGGGGAGTGACACAAAACACTAGGGGTCTAGGGCAAAGGGACAACATGGGGAATGCCTTGTTCCTGAACTGGCTACTGATATGCAACAATATTATGTTATGTTATGTGCCTAACTTGTTTTTATGATGCAATGTTCTGTTTTAGACCCACATAGACCGATTGCCGACACCCCATGTCAGGCCGCCCCCCACACCTGTATTGGTCCTGGCCGAGGATTGAGGCGACACGCATGCAACCCCACACCTACACCCAACAAGTAAACCGAAGGAACAGAGGTGGGAGCAGACCTCACCCCTCGATAAACTCATACACCATTATCAGGGCAGCGAAATCCCAGAGCCACCCATCGGGAACAAAAGCACTCACTGAAACCCAGGGACCATGGCTCTTAAAATATCCTCGCTAAATGTCAAAGGCCTCAATGCCCCATGTAAGCGACGAACACTTTTTAGGGAACTGAAAAGAATGAATCCCGACAGCATTCATACAGGAGACACATCTATCTCGCTCTGTTCAGGTCTCCCTCCGTGACAACACATACCGCCTGGCCGCAGAGACACGAACCTTCCGTAAACACAACAGAGTAGCAATTCTCACACACAAATGATGCCCAAGTCACCTAACCCAAGTGACACCAGACCCAGACGGTAGATTCGTCCTAGCAACCGGACGAATTCATACACAACCCATCCATTTACTCAACATTTATGCTCCCAACACACCAACAACTGGAACCAGATGTCTGACATAGTCCTTTCACTCCCCACAGGGATTATCCTCCTGGGGAGCGACCTAAATGCCACTCCTGCCCCAGCAGCAAACAGAAGCTCGCGCCCAGGAGTGATCAGATCCCATGGCGCGGGAGCCCAAGACAAACAATTGCACCACTTCATACGAAAAACGGGCCTTATAGATGCCTGGAGAGCACAACATCCCTTCGACAAAGACTACACCTACTACTCACCGCCCCACGACACATATTCACGCATAGACATGTTCTTAACCAACCACGCAGGCTACACGAAAACACAAAAGACCGAAATAGGCACCATAGCGTGGTCGGACCACGCAGACAGCAATCCATCTTAGGGGCCTCCAGAGCCCCACCCCATGGACGTGGAGACTCAACGCATCCCTCCTCAAAGATTCCCAAGTGGTTAGCGACATTCAGGAACAGATAAATATATACTTTACAGAGAACCTAACACCAGACATCCCCATGACCACAGTATGGGCAGCCCACAAAGCAGTGATCCGAGGTTCCCTGATCAAAATAGCAACCCACAAAAAAAAAAAAAAAACACAGCAACTCACCGGATAGAAACCCTCCGTACAGCGGAGCAACGCCATAAAATCAACCCCAACCCTCAAACACTACAACTACTCCAAAACACCCGCATCACAATCAGACAACTACTCATAGACAATACAGCCCGAGCACTCACATGGACGAAAAGGACATTCTACAACAAATCCAATAAAATGGATACGCTACTGGCCCGCACACTACGACCCAGGACCCTACACCCCCATATCATGAAAATTAGAGCCCCGGATGGACAGAAATAGCCCAAACATTCACATCCTTCTACACAAAGTTATATAACCACTCCACGCAAGACCACAGGACGAACGCAGGGGCGAGTCAGAAAATAACAGACTTTCTCACCCGACTAAACCTACCAAAACTACACACTGCAGCCATAACAGAATTATCAGCACCGATTACTAAAGATGAAATCAGCGCAGCCATATCCTCCCTCAAAAGCCATAAAGCCCCCGGCCCAGACGGTTTTGAGGGCAGCTACTACAAAACCTTTAGAGAAGTACTAATCCCACACCTGGAATCCTTGTTCCAAGACCTGATGACGGGAACCCCACCAGATAACAACATGACACGGGCAAACATCATACTACTTCCAAAACCGGGCAAAGACCACACTCAACCAGAAGCATACAGACCAATATCCCTCATAAACCATGACAGCAAAATCTTCGCCAAAATACTAGCGGGGAGACTGAACCCATACCTAACACACCTAGTCCACGCCGACCAGGTGGGCTTCATACCTGGACAACAGTTATTCGAAAATAAGAGACGAAACATAGACATAATATGGATGCTAGCAGCCGCGAAAACACCATCACTAGTGTTCTCCCTAGACGCAGAAAAAGCGTTCCACAGGGTAAAGTGGCCCTATATGTTCGCACTCTTAGAACACCTAAACATGCCCCCCTCACATATATTACAGCTGTACGCGCACTATACACGAACGTTTCAGCACAAATTATGATAACTGGAACGACGTGCCCACCGGACGATATCATGTTGACCTTAACCGAACCCATTTCCACACTGCGAGCATTGCTCCCACTTTTGAACACGTACGGGGAGGTCTTGGGATACAAGGTAAATGTGGAGAAATCTAGTGCTCTCCCCATAAACCTCACACAAACGGACATAACTAACATCACCTTAGACCACCACATAAACGTTACATCAACGTTCCTTACGTATCTAGGCATCAAACTGCCAGCAGACACCACCACACTCTACAGACTAAACTACATACCCATGATAGAAAAACTCATCTCGGACATGGAGACCTGGGCGGACAAACCCATATCCTGGATAGGAAGAATACACTCAATAAAGATGAACGTTTTACCCCGCATTCTATTCCTATTCCAGGCCATACCCATCCCCATCACGAAACACAACCTCATCCCACTACAGCGGGCAATATATATATTTATCTGGCAGAACAAGAGACACAGAGTAGCCCGCAACATACTTTATCGCCCCAAAACGAGAGGAGGCCTGGGCCTACCCCACCTCCACTTTTACTATCTGGCTGCCCAGATGGCACAAATAGCCCTATGGCACACCCCCCCAGCGACTAGAAGGTGGGTAGATCTGGAATCATTGCTCATGAGATCCGATCTCCCGCAATTTTACATCTGGACCCCTAAAGAACACAGGGCGCTCCCGAGAACGGCGTGCCCGGCCATCACCAACTCAATTTAATTATGGGACAAATAAGCTCTTAAATACGGGCTGACTACCACGACATCGCCACTCACCCCCATATATCGTATTAGAGCCTTCACACCAGGCATGAGACCATGGGACTTTAAAGGCTTAGAGCAAGCTGGCCTTTAGAGAGTATACCAACTCTATGCAGGAGATAAGATAATTCCCTTCCCAGACCTACAGTCCAGAACAACGTTGAAGCCAGCCGACTTCTTTAGATATCTACAACTAAAAAATTACGCGGCCCTAGCAACGGTGAAAACCGCCGCTACAACCAGTCCAACCTTTTTTGAACGCACCTGCTTAGCGGAACGGTATCAAAAAGGCATGATCACCACACTATACTCCCACCTCTGTTCCACCACACGAGAATGGGGACAACTCCAATACACTGACAAATGGTAGTCAGACCTGGGCGAAACTCTAGAGGGAATTGACTGGCAGGACATATGGGAAGCTAACACAAAAACCTCCATCTGTGTCACGATGCAGGAACAGGCATATAAAACAATGCTTAGATGGTACATTACCCCGGTCCAATTATGCCACATGAAAAAAACACCTACAGATCTCTGTTGGCGTAACTGCGGAGAAAAAGGGACATACACCCACATGTGGTGGTTCTGCCCCATCATTAAACTCTTCTGGAAAGACATCCAAAAGCTAATAACACAAATCCTACACAGACCGGTAGACCTAAATCCATGGACATTCCTGCTAGCCAAACCCCTAGATGACTGGCCTAGACCAGAACAACAACTGGTAAAGAAAATAGCACTAGCAGCCAGAAAAGCCCTAGCCCACACGTGGCTGCAACCTATCCCCCCCATTGTCCACAGTGCTTAACAAAATCAAAGAATGTCATCTTATGGACAAACTAACGGTCGAAATAAGAGGCTCCATGAAATCATTCACTAAGACGTGGGAACCATGGGAAAACTTCAATGATGACTAGTAAACCTCGTGAATCATTCAGGACCCCCTCCACCCCCCATCCTCTCCAACCATCCTCTCCCCCCCCCCATCATTAGGCAGAGCCCACCGGTGCTCCGGCCTATAAGTTCAACACATTGAACCCATCAAAACCATCACAACCAGATGGTAACTTAAACACAAAGTAACGATATATTATCCAAGTTCTTACATTACCGTTGGATTGTTCTTTTATTTATTTTATGAATACCGCATGTACCTCCTATTGGCAATATTTGTTTCTTTATTGCATTCACAATGCGGCTTCTGCGTAAGCCATATGACTGCATAGTGCATTTTTTTCTCTGTCATTGAAAAAATAAAGAATTATAAAAAAAAAAATCCCTAAAACTTCACTGATGATATAATTGTTGTTTTTTCATAGGCATAGGTGCCTATGTCGCCTTTGAGACAGTGTAGCAGCCTGGATAATAACATTTTCACCATTATGGCTTACCATTTTTAAATGTAGACAACCTACGGTATTCCAAATTGTGGGGGGGTTTTTTTGTTTTTTTTAGTTGTTTGGTCCAGCCTCTTTATCATGAATGCTGGCCACATTAAGTGGTTATACCTTTTTGTTTTTTTGTTTTTCTCTCACATGAAATCCCTTTTCACAGGACATTTCATAATCCTGGTGAGTTTTAGCACAATAAAGTCTAAATAATTTTATTTAACGTTGTCTCACGGTTCCCCCTTGTACTGGCTTTCCATTTCAACTTGGAAATTTTATGCGCCTTTGTCACCTTTGAGACAGTATGTCAGATCAGGAAAGAATGTTACCCCCATGATGGCATATAATTTTTAAAAGTAGACAACCCAGGGTATTCCAAATGGCGTATTTTGAGTTGTTTGATCTTGCTACTTTATCATAAATGCTGGCCACATTTAGTGGTTATACCTTTATTTGTGTTTTTTTTCTCACACATGAAATCCATTTGCACAGGATATTTCATAATCTTGATGAGTGTTAGCCCAATAAAGTCTAAATATTTTTATTTAATGTTGTCCCACAGTTCCCCCTTGTACTGGTTTTCCATTTCAAATTGTTAATTTGAAAAAGTCAATTTCTGGGCCTTTGTCGCCTTTGAGGCAATATTGTTTCAGACCTAGAATCTATATGTCTTATCAACACCCAATATTTCGATAAGTGGTTGAAACCTATTGTACAAAATTGTCTCAGCTATTTAAAAGATAATTTAATTATTTTACAAATTTTAAATAGAAATAGTATGGGAAAGTGATTAGTGTCAATTCATTATACACTATCATTGCACATGACAAATGCTGCGCAGCAACAAAGCACTTTTTAGAAACCTCTGGAAATTTCCCACCATTTCTAATAATTTTATATTGGAGAGTATTAATTTGATTTTATCACATAATTATTTGAGGTTTAATAACAGTTTTTATCTGCAGATCTGTGCAATGACGATGGGCACCAGGTCTACTCCCAGTGATGCTAACCTGTTCATGTCACTGTTGGAAAAGATGCATTTTTGAAGAGCACAGTTGGGAAGCAAACATGGTGACATATTGCCGTTACATAGACAACATATTTTTTTCTATGGAATGGTGATGAATTGTCCCTAAATCCTTTTTATCTTTCCTTTAAGAATAATGATTGAGGTATCAGACTTACCACTAATTTTAGTTAAAATGTTGTGAATTTTTTTAGATTTTTAAAAATCTATATAGAAGATAACGTCATTAAAACTAGCACTTTTAAAAAAAAAAGAAAAAGTGGATATGAATAATTACATCCAAGAGTAGTCACTATTCCCCAGGGTTTCTAAATGCCCCAAAAAGCACAATTACTTATAATAAAAAGGAATTGCATAGATAACACTAAATTCCACGAGCAAGCACAGCATTTTTTAAACGATTTTCGAGTTAAGGGTTATCATGAAGGATTATAATAAATAGGACTTATCAAGAAGTTGATTCTAGAAACTAACTAAATCTACATTCTCAGTTGCACTAAGAATGCACTAACTGAATATAAAAAAATTTAATTTTAGAGTGAAGTTCAATTGATTTTTTATTTTAATTGTCAAAGTAATCAATTGAAGAAAAGTATCTAAAAATATAAAGCTCTTAATCAAATCGGACAATGAGCTACCAAATCTATCTTGTGTAATTACACCCTTCCTTGATTCTTAGGTTACAAACTCCCAACAAGTTTTTTTTACGTCCAAGGGGGCCTTAACTGGTAAGACGGAAGCCATTCTCTTGTCTCTCCCAGTCCCTGTTGGAGTCACACGGCTCTATAAAAAGTGAAATTTGCTAGCAGATAAAGTAGACAAAGCTTTTAATATTATGGCTATTCCCATAGAAAAACTCACTGCAGAACAAGAACAGATAAGAATGGTTGCCCTGCAGAATAGAGTACCCCTTGATTATCTATTAGGGGCACAAGAAGGACTATATAAACTAGTGGGTGAAGTTGTGTAGTTATATTACTGATCAGTCTTGGTCAATGTCATGGAGTATAACCCTAATGCAGAGTTTAGGATAGCAAAGAACGAACAAAGGAAATACAAATGTCTTACCAGGCTTAGTGGTCGGACTAAACGTTTGATAGCGTAAAGAGTAGTCGAAATACAAGCCGAGGTCTGGGTAATGGAGAGACAGCCAAAACGAGAACTAGCCAGAGTCAGGTAAACGGTAATAATCAGAAGGGCAAACAAGACAGTCAAGTGTTAGAGAGAAACTCAGAGTCAAGACACAAAGCCAAGGTCAATACCAGAATACAATACAATAACACAAGTAAAGCACTAAAGAGTACTGGGAATAGAAACCACAATAGGGTACAGAATCTGGATCAGGTAAGTTTAAATAAGTCTATGTTTATTTAATTGGTCCACACCATGCCTGCACCCCAAATGGTGTGTGACTGGGGGCACAGGAATGACGTAGGCCAATTGAGGCTGACTGCAAGGTTAGACTCCTATTTACGCTTTAAGAACGTGCTTGCGATGCGAGCAGCATTCCTAATACTGTACGGGTCGCTCACCCACTCAGACTGTTCGGTGAGCGCGGCCTGCAAGGAGCCAGGAATGCTCAAGCCGCATGCGGCTCGATCGGAAGACCCCTGCCAGCACGCGGACCAGGTTAGCACTGTTACAGTCAATACATCATGATTTTGAGGAATCAGCAGAAGTCCAGTCTAAAATGAGAGAACAAAGTATAGACAACAAAATTAGGCAGCAATATGCAATGTCAATTTTCAGTTTCTAAGGCCAGTAAGATTTTGTCATGTATAAATAGGGGCATAAATTCTCGGGATGAAAATATAATTTTGCCTCTTTATAAATCGCTGGTAAGACCACACCTTGAATATGCTGTGCAATTTTGGGCGCCTGTTCTAAAGAAGGATATCATGGCACTGGAGAGGGTCCAGAGACGAGCTACAAAATTGATAAAAGGAATGGAGCATTTTAGTTATGAAGAAAGGTTAAAAAAAATGTAATCTGTTTAGTTTGGAAAAACGGCGCCTGAGAGGGGATATGATAACTTTATACAAATATATTCGGGGCCAGTACAAACCTTTATCTGGAAATCTATTCATAAACAGGGTATACATAGGACACAAGGTCACACATTTAGGCTGGAAGAAAGGAGATTTCATCTAAGGCAAAGAAAAGGTTTTTTACAGTAAGAACAATAAGGATATGGAATTCTCTGCCTGAAGAGGTGGTTTTGTCAGAGTCCATACAGATGTTTAAACTGAAATTGGATAAATACTTACAAAAACATAACATACAGGGATATAATTTCTAATTAGTGGGGTAATAGCTGCTTGATCCAAGGAGACATCTGACTGCTATTTTGGGGTCAAGAAGGAATTTTTTCCTAGTTTGTGGCAAAATTGGAAGTGCTTCAGACCAGGTTTTTTGCCTTCTTTTGGATCAACAGCAACAACATTTGTGAGGAAGGCTGAACTTGATGGACGCAAGTCTCTTTTCAGCTATGTAACTATGTAACTATGTAAAGGTCTTTTCTGGGATTTTGACTGGACATTTAAGCTGGGTAATCTAGCACATAAAATTCTGTATTTCTTTGTAGTAGCCTTAGCTATCTTAGCAGAAATATGGATTTCTGTGACATGTTTCAAAATGGTAATGTCATCTGTCTGTAAACCCTTACCCCAAAGAGTACCCATAATTCCATGCATGTTGCTATGCATCCACAATTACACTCCCAACCCTACCACTCCGTTATTAATTACGGTACCCCTACCTTTCCACCGGACACTTAAAGTTCACCCTTGGTGCGCGGTAGAGTGGCTTGCCTGGGAGAGCCATGGCCACCTGGAGGTACCACACAGGTAATCAGTGAATAAGGGTTTGTCCTTCCCTTAATGTTTTCCCAGAGCATGGTATGGACCAATGTATAATGATAGGGCTTACCTTTTCCTCCTCCCCTTATTTTAAGTTGCACTATGTTCTACAGTTAGTTGTGAACTAACTAATGGGAAGGGGCCACAGAAAGCCCCCACAATGATGGGATAAAATCCCTCTTTGTTGGCCCTATTGGTTGCAACAATTATCCACTCAACACCTAACCCTCTCCCATATAATATGCATAACCTCATTATGCCTATTATATTCTTACAGAATAAAAGGAAATGAAAGGGTTAAAATTGTTACATGTGGCTAATGAATAACGGACAGACAAATTAGAATAGTAATTGTTACATGTAAACTTAAAGTGAACCCGTACATCCTGTTACTGATCCTTGGAAATGTTCTTTTAACTTCCTTTACAAGAAACGCAGGACATTTTATGACTGTTAATGGTTGCTGGGATGAGTACATATCCTGTGCAGATGTCCTATGTACTGATGCAACCTTGTCATGTAACTTTTGTTGTAACAAAGTATACATATGTTCATGGAGCCTGAATAAATTGTAGTAATCTGCTTTGAAACAAAGTGTGTGTTTTACTGAAAGGCTGCTACCCAAACATTCATGTCCAAAGGTGGGTGCACGGAACTCAGGGCCCAGAAGTTTAGCCTCCTTTACAGGAAGAAAAGTTGGCCCCAAGGACTTGGATTCTTTACTTGTCATCTGTCTGTAAACCCACTTGTTCCTAAGTTTGTTATGCTGCTTCTGAAGTGTCCTGCAGCCAAACTTAACTTATGCTATAGGCAGGCAGACTGTGTCAAGTTGCTAGTTAGAGGTGGGGGGGTAACCCCTAGTAGAAATATATGAGACAGCGAAAAGAAAGGCTGATAGGTGGCTGCCTGGAGAAGCTTTCCTGAGAGCTATAGGGTATGTAAACAAATCTGTCCTGTTTCAGCAGGCTTGTCACATGCTTAATCTCTTTTATGAAGGAACTTTGAGGGCATTGAGTTGTCACTTGGGCATCAGAGCCAGTTGCCCATGAGTAGAAGCATGCTATTGACCTTTCTATTCCAGAGCCATCATTGCACCAGAGGGTTTGGTTACAGTAGAGTGGAGTTAAAGAGAGCTGAAGCATTATACATGTGCACTGCAGGTGTTAGAATCAAACACAATACACATAACAAACACATAACAAACACACAGAGACAGTTATGTGCAGGAAAAGGCCTTTCATTTAGTTTACAAATACATTGTAACAGGCCCGGACTGGCCATCGGGCATACCGGGCAAATGCCCGGTGGGCCGCGATGGCCGTGGGGCCGAGGCCGGCAGGGAGATCACAGGATCTCCCCGGCCGGCCCCTGCAGGGCCAGCGCTACCCGAGCGCCGGCCCTGCTGTGTGCCTCCATGGGCCGGTGGGGAGATCAAAGATCTCCCTCACCAGCCCAGAGGCAGGGAGATACGGTAACGGCCGCCGGCTGGGGAGGGAGGGAGGGAGGGAGGAAAGGACGGGCGGAGCTCTAACAAGCAGCTCCGCCGGGTCCTCTCGCGGGATTCTGAGCGTTGCCGCTCTGCGCATTGAACCAACATGCTCACTTTCAGAAGGGGCGTACTTGTCATTAGTGATGACATAAAACACCCTCTCTGGCCGCGCCCCCTTCTTGGGGGGCCGCTCTAATTGAAAAATGCCCGGGCCTAATTTTTTTCCCAGTCCAGCCCTGCATTGTAACAATAATTGTACTCACTTTCAAAACAACATAACTTGTCACCCAAAATCTCCTGTCTCCAACCAGAGATTTCACTCATGACTTACCTCATGTGCTGCCCTAAATAGCCAGAAGATAAACATATCAATAACCAATACCACAAGGACAGGAAAAATAATTGTAGATTGCGAAGGCATCGTGACACCAAAATTGATGCCCTCACGATGCTGAGCGAGCTCGTGCACCGTGCATCTCAATTAACACTCCCAACCTCACAGTGCACATGCACATGAGCCCATGTTCAATTGACCATGTGCAGTCATGTGCACTGCAGGTGTTAGAATCAAACACAATATACATTAAAAAAAACACACACATATAAGCCTCTATGCCTTATATTAGTGGTCCCGCGAGGCCAATACCCATCCTCATATTCGGAGGTATTCGGCCCTTGGTCCTACGCATAGCTAGCCGCCTCACATGTTGCATAGAGAGGGACTCAGCAGTCAGGGCCAATTCTATTTAACTTCTACTACTCACGGAGAGGACAACACCCCACCACTACGTTCCGTGGTATAGCCCTCGGCCCAATGCATAGATAGAGCCTCTCAAGCCGCTTGGCACTAGTAGGGCCTCGCCCCGATGGAGCAATTTCTTTGCCGCTTGGCACTAGTCAGCAACCAGTACCTACAGGTAGAAACATTCTAAATCTCAATTTTCCTTTTAGTATGTCAAGCTCCAGACGGGGGAGATGAGCTTTCACTCCCTCCTACCCCAACTAGAGAACGAGAAACTGCCAGCCCATCATCATTTAGGTCATGGACCATTCCACGCATACAGGCCGAACTGCGAAGGAGGAGCATTCCATTCCCGGCTACAGCCAGGAAGGCGGAATTGTTCAGATTTATGTATACGAACACCGACAACACCAGAGCTGGGGAAGGGTCTAGTGGCACCAGCAACATGCCCGACCATGATGGACACTCTCCTATCCTCCATGGGCCAGATCAGAGATAGGATCGATAGATTAGAGTCGGCCCATACAACTGACCTACCTTTGTCCAGTGCCACATCCCTAGCGGCCGCTACTGCAATTCTACAGGGTAATGTTGTGGCCCCGGTATCACAGTTAGATACATTAATGATCACACCTGCCCACATGGTGCCTTTTCAGATATGTAAAGATATCCTGGAGGGTAGGGACGTGAATGTGATATCACTCCTTATTGCTGCCCAGGATATAGTGGAGAACAAGACGTATGCTTATTGGGACCTATCAGTAGTCCTCAAGGCCAGGGATCCCAGACTCAGTAAAAAAATGACCATTCCAGAGTTTGTACTGGCGTTTGGGATTTACAGAGATGTAGTATGTACCAATTCGCCTCAGAGAGGTGAAGAATTGGATACATTCATGCACAAGCTGCTCGACTTGGGGCACAAGTACCGCGGATATGCTTTCTATGATTACCATAGGTCTTTTTCAGCTAAGGCGGCAGCAACTTTGGCCCAGTTCAATACAGTGATTAATTGGAGTAAGCTGGATACAAAGTTGTTTTGCAGGCATTTAGCCGGCCTCAGGACGCCAGCTTGTGCCTTGTGTTCATCAACCTCCCACAGTACCGACTTCTGTCCCACTGACACCTCGGTCGCAGTTCAGCAAAACCCTGGATTGCCTGTAAGATCAGAGAGAGTCATAAAGGATAAGCTTGGTAGGCCTGTTGTATTTCTCAGGAAATCACAGATTTGTAACAATTTCAATGCTGGGACCTACGGGTTTAGTGCTTGTAGGTTGATACATGTGTGTACTCAATGTTTCTGTGCGCACTCCAAAACCATGTGTCCTAATAAACTGAATTCTAAACAGTATTTCACATCTGTTGATATTATCCAGTTGTCTCAACTTTTAGCATCTCACCCTTCACCACAGTTCACTAACTTCTTGGTTTCGGGATTTTCAGAGGGCTTTCACACGTGTATTGTAGCGTTACCATCCGGTATTACCAAAAGTAAAAATTTACTATCCGCTGTCAACGACCCAAGTACTGTTGATTCACTGTTAACACAGGAACTGAATCAAGGGTTTGTCATAGGCCCTTTTTCCACACCCCCATTCTCTAGTAGGCGTTCAAACCTGATTGGTATTGTAACTGGGAAACACTCTTCGAAGAAAAGACTGATTATTGACCTTTCTGCACCTCACTCCTCCACCATTCCCAGTTTGAATTCATGAATCCCTTCAGAAGAGTTCTCATTGCAGTACACCACGATAGATTATGCAGTACAAACCATCATAGCGGCGGGGGTAGGAGCATGGTTAAGCAAAACAGATATTGTTAACACCTTTAAACTGCTTTCTATTCCCCCGTCGCTGTGGCATCTGCATGGTATTAAATGGAGAAACCAGTATTATTTTTTCAACAGGCTAATGTTTGGGTCTAACAGTAGTCCGAGGATATTCAACACCTTCGTGGAGGCCTTATGCTGGTTACTCTTAAATTCATGTAGATGTCCATCAGTACTACACTATCTGGATGACTTCCTCTTTATAGAGAGTAATCAGAACCCACCTTCAAGTCTTCAGGTCGCCAAACAGCTGTTTGGGAGGTTGGGTGTCCCTATTTCACTCTCCAAAACAACTGTTGTCAATTTTCTGGGTATTGAACTGGACTCGGTAGCCATGGTGGCCAGCTTGCCGCATGACAAAATTCAACGTATCCTTACAGACATTAGTGATTACTTGCGACGGGGTTGCTGTAGTCAGAAGGAGTTACAGTCATTGTTGGGGTTGTTGAATTTTGCCATGAGAATCATCCCGCAGGGCAGGTCTTTTATTTCTAGACTTTTATGTCTATTGCCTAACCTGCCCTCAGAGGACAGCATGGTCTCCCTGGATACCCAGGCCACAGCTGATTTACGCATGTGGCAGGATTTCTTATTCCAGTGGAATGGGAAGTTCATGTTCATACCTCCACTGTCCCCTGATTCCCCAAAACTGTGGTCGGATGTAGCAGCTTCTTCTGGTTTCACGACCATCTGGGGTGACCAATGGTTATGGGGCAGTTGGCCGCCTGAGACCAGAATATTGGAGGCCTTTGGTCATACTAGAAATATACCCTATCGTGGCTGCAGCAGCAACTTGGGGACACTCCTGGTCTGGACACACGGTCCATTGTTACTCAGATAACCAAGTCACATGCCACATTATTAACAAAGGCCTGTCCCCCTCTCTAGTCATTATGAGATTCATGAGGCGAATAACTTGGCTCGCGGCAACTCATCAGTTCTTTTTGTAATGCACACACATACCGGGTGTTCAGAACTCAGCAGCTGACCATTTGTCCCGCTTCGGTTTTCAGGAATTTCGCCTACTCCATGCCCATGCCTCCTTGGTAGCAACTCCGGCCCCCCAGTTTGAAGATCTCATATTGGATTGAGGCAACTCCTAGAGCATGGAAGAATACTGTCACAGAGAGCTCTGTCCGAAAACTCCAGGCTTACATACAAAAGAGCTCTTAATGTTTTTGTAAAATTTACTAGGGACTTCCAGGTGGCAGATGTATTCGCTATGGAAACTTTGGTAGCATTTGCCTCTTTTTGCCACCTCAATTTACATTTGTCTTACAATACAATTAAACTCTATCTCACAGGCTTACAACACCACATGTTAACTTTATTTCCAAACAGACAGACCTTCTTATCCTCCTATCAAGTTAAGACCTTATTAAAAGGAATTCAGAGGAGCAGTACAACACTAGCACCACAAAGATTGCCTATTACGAAGAATGTGTTCAGATCACTATCAGACCTTTTGGATAACTCTCCTTTTGAACCTAAAACCAATCAGACTTTAAAAGTCGCTATATATTTTGCTTTTTACGGGTTCCTTAGGCACAGAGAATTTACTACAATCCATACTACTGACGCTAGGTCCTGTCTTAACGTTGGCAAGCTAATTAAACAAGAAGACCATTATCTCCTCTCACTGTTACATACCAAAACAATGCAACCGGGGCAAACCGTCACAATACCTTATTACCCCACCTTTAATAAATGGTGTCCCGTAAAGACTTTCGATACCTATCTGACTAATTTACAAGCACCTACAAATCACCCGTTACCCACCTTATAAGGCACCATTCTCACGACAAGCAAATTCATGCTTTATATTAGAATCTTGTTGATGAGATTAGGCTTTAACCCCTTACGCTACTCGGGACATTCTTTCCATATTGGGGCAGCTTCAGCAGCCTCACACGGGAACATAGCTACTCATATTATCAAGTCACTGGGGCGCTGGAAATCTACAGCGTACTGTAGGTACATACCACAACTTGAGAGAGAAATCAGACAAGCTTTCCAACATTTGGCATTATGATGTTATGTTGTACTAAGTTATTGTTGATTGAATAAAATCTTTTGGCATACATCTTTTTCCCACTTTATTTGCAGGTCTACCAATACGTCGGTTTCGGCACACCTCAACCAAATTAGTCATACTCCTACTGGTATGAGAAGATATCAGTTATACTTACGGCTTTTTATTGTCCTGATGACAAATGTAAAGGCGGAGCCTGGAGTTGTGGTTGGGGCTAGTGCTGATATAAATACTCACCCTCGGCACTAGACTCCTCCTAGGCATTCGTTACGTTTTTTAGTCCCTCCCACCGCTCCATCTTTTTAAAATTATTATTTCACTTATAACTACCTTCCTTGGTGGGCCCACTTTATTTACAGGTCTACCAATACGTCAGTTTCGGCACACCCCAACCGAATTAGTCATACTCCTACTGGTATGAGAAGGTATCAATTATAATTACGGCTTTTTATTGTCCTGAATACATACATACATACATACATACATACATAATAAAAACACACCAAGACAGATATCTGCAAGAAAAGGTCAAGGTCTTTTTACTTTAGTTTACTAACACATTGTAACAATAACTTTACTCACTTTAAAACCAACATAATTTGGAACCAAAAATCTCCACTCAGAGATTTAACTCATGGCTTACCATAGTTCTGCCATAAATAGCCAGAACCTAAACATATCAATAACCAATACCATATAGTCTACCCACTGCAGCATTCAACTAATGCTGAAGCCCACCCCATCAGACCATGGCCTTATTAATCATATTTTGTAAATTGTTATTAAAAATATCCAGACCAATGTTACAGAGATGGGGTACTGTCACTAGCATACAAACCAACACACTGACCCTCGATTTCAACATAGCGAAAGGTAAAATCACCAATTGATGTCATACATTTCTCCATGGATTTATTAAGCTTGCACCTTACTCTTTCTAGCAGTTTGAGAATCACATTGCGCAACCACACTAGTCTCTTAACTATTTCGGACTAGATAATTAAAAAATCAGAATATATTTGTTTCACCTGCCATATGTCTTCTTTAAACTGATGCATTAAAACCACAGACTTAACTCTACAACATCATTACCCCTGTAATGCAAATACAGTAACACTCAGCCAAGATAACCAAGTGCTACAACTTCACAACACATTAATTACACTTTCTCTTTTCAAACCTCTAACACCATCCCAAAATAACAACACAGTCCTTTTATCATACATTTTTGCCGTAACTTCTTTCCACGGCTTGGCATATGCCCAGTGGATAAATGAATGGCCTACAATCCACACTACCATTTGACTTTCACCTGAAACAGGTGACAGTGCAAGGGACCTGAAAGCCTTAAAATTGAAATGGGACAAGGCATCAGCAATACAATTAGTTTTACCACTTATATGCCTAGCTTTTACCCGTATGTTGTGCACCAGGTACATTAAAACTAGTCTCCTTAGTAAATTAATCACCAGGGAAGTTTTCGCTCGAAGGTAATTGCTTACCCAAACAATTCCCAAATTGTCACAGTGGAACGTGATTCTTCTATTAGCTAATTCAGCACCCCATAACTCCAGTGCAACAACTATCGGGAATAGTTCTAAAAGAGTTATCATCTTGGTCTATCCCTTCTCAACCCATGTCTGAAGCCATCCCTCAGCTACCCATTTACCTTGGAAATAAATATCGAAGCCATGTGAGCCAGCTGCATCAGTAAAAATATTCAATTCCTGATTTGAAACTAATTTGCTTTGCCAAAAAGTAAAACCATTAAAGTTACTCAAAAATACATTCAAAACCTGTAAATATTCCTTCATCTGACTGGATACACAAATATGTTTATGTGGCTTTTTTATCCTGGTCAACCCTGGACCAGGAAAAGACTCTAGCCATAGAAATTAACATTGATGCAAAATTCAATTTGCCCAAACTGGCTGTAACATCTTAAAGGACCACTCTAGGCACCCAGACCACTTCAGCTTAATGAAGTGGTCTGGGTGCCAGG